CCAAATACTTGTCAGAATGCTTTACACTGTTTCATCATTTAAAGTTATCTCTTTGATTTTTTTCTTAGGCAAATACGTACCTCGGAATCATGGCTCTTTTTGCTATTATAGGTGATGATTAAGGATCTGGATCAACCGGTGAAAAAGGTTTTAAATTGTCTCCAAGATCCTCATCCTCGAGTCAGATGGGCTGCTTGCTGCGCAATTGACATGCTATCAACTGTCTACCATCCAGATTTTCAAGAACAATACCATAACCAAGTAGTTCCTGCATTAGCTGCAACTATGGATCATGTTCATCCACGAGTGCAGGTTTGTCCTATGTGATATGTACTATTCAGGGATGCTGCAAGTTTCCCCTACAACAATTGCCAGCTAAGAGAAGATTAGATTATCATTACTACATGAAACAACCAACAAAGTTTTTATTCTTACTGCACCTCTACAAGGTGGTCTTATGTACCATACAGTTGAAGTTCTTTAACCTTGCCTAGGTATACCCCTTTAATTTTTATTTTTATCCATAAAAATAATAATTGAGAACTAATATACCTTTTATATTCTAGTATATCTGATTCCTAAGAATCTTGGGCTTAAAACTAAATATTCCACAACTGTCGGAGTTGGCTCTTTATCGATCCACTCATCTTATTGCATTCTGCTTGATTTCTTGATGTAATTTTGAGATTACTCAAAGAAGTCTCTTCACTATATATTGCTTCATTTGCTTAGTCGCAACACTTGTTCCCAGTTGGTCCTCAACAATCACTTTTGCTTTTCTGCAATATGACGCAAATTAAGGATGTATTGTGTAACATCCCTTCTAGAATTTTGTAATACAAACATGTATTGGCTTCGGCAGTGGAAAATCTATTTTGTGACTTTATTTTATTTGCAATAAGATCTCTCTTCTAACTTACAAGAACGTTGAGTGATTGTAATATACTATGAGATTATAGAGGAAGTAATTATTACTAAATGTCAGGGAAGGTAACTAAAGTGAACCCGTAAATAAAGTTTGGAAATAAGCATAAGCCTAAGGATTTGGTAGATGTGAATCCATTCAGTTGCTGATGCCAACTAATTTGGTCCTTTTACCTTTTTGGCATTTTTATAGGCATCTGCTGCTGGAGCTCTATCCTTCTTCTGTGTGTCCAACAAGCCAGATTTTTTGATACCTTACCTAGATGGAATAGTTAACAAACTGCTTGTACTTGTACAGGTGTGCAACTATAGAGGCCACCAAATTTCGGAGGTATGTTACTTCTGACAAGTGCAAGAGACTAATGATGTCTTTTTCGGCATTTTGTTGCTTGAAATGCAGAATGGCAAACAAATGGTCCAACAAGAAGCATTATATGCATTGTCTCGTATAACTGAATCTGTTAAGGTATTAGCTGGTGCTTTTGTTCCTGACTAAGTTCTATTTTTGATTAAATTATCATCATGAAGGCTGATATATTATACGTAAACAGGAGTACTTCCGGACCTATTATGACACTGTTATGCCACAGTTGAAAGCTTTCTTGAGAAATGCAGATCTTAAATCCGATTTCATTCTTCTTGCCAGAGCGATAGAGTGCATGAGCTGTGTTGGGTCTGCTGTTGGCAGGGAGAAATTTAGAGAAGACGCAGAGCAGGTCTTCTTCCAACTATGCCCAGTACTGAGCTTCGATGCCATTGATTGAACACATATATATTGATGCCATGCTCATAGGACACATCTCTTTTAGTTCCTTACTCATGGAATACTGAACACGTATATAGATGCGATCGATTGGGGTTGCTTCGTTCTTGTTTCATTTGTTATGCTTTGTTTCATGGCTTTACCGTAGTCGAACCATAATATAGATTACTCTTGTTTAAGTTACTATTTCTTTCAACAATTATGTGCAACAAAACGTATGACGGTGATATCTCTCCGCTATCTCTTGGCATTCTTTTTCTTGTCTTGGCCTGTGCTGGTGTGAGCTTATTTTCCTTTGGTCATTTCAGAATATAGAGCTTACTTTTTATTAGTTTCCTTTTTTATGTTGTCATTAAAGGTCATCAAAGTGATTATGATATCATTACAAGGAATACAAGCGAAGGGGGATGATTCTCCAACTGAATACTTGCTAAGGGTATGTGTAGATCACTTAATTTTAAGATCAAATTTCTTTCTAGATTGGCCTCTTTTTATTTTCTTAATTTCATTGCAGGCATGTGCTGCAATTTGCGATTGCCTAGGACAGGATTTTCTTCCTTATATCCATAAAGTCATGCCCTTTATTATTCAATATGCTCAACTTGAACCTGCTATAACCATCTCTGTGAAGCGGAACCAAGTTGCAGCCTGTTTTATGCTATGCCGCTTCGCTGAGACATTAAAGGGAGACTTCTACCCATGGGTTTCCCAGGTTGGCATGAACGATCATCTGCACGTTTTCCTTTTTGTCATGTGCAGTTGAGTGATGTCAAATTAAACAGGTCATATCAATGGCTTAATGCATTAAACAGGTTGTTTCAGTCTTTATTCCACTTCTGAAATTCTATACCCACAATGGTCTCAGGAAATGTGCTGTTAATTGTGAGAATTCTCGTGATTTCATGTGGTTTTTAATTTTCTAATTTTTCAATTGCTGAAGCAATTTTCTAAATTTTTGCTGTTTAAGCCATGTATATTTTGTTGCGTTCTGCTAAACTAGCTGTTGAGAAAGGGATCGCACAAGGTGCAAGTGAGGCATATTTCACAAAGTTGTCAGACCATATAATGCAGTCTTTGCTAGATGCTTTGCATGAGGTTGTTCTTAACCTCAGTAATTATGTTTTTTTTTTGGGTTCGGAGATTGTTTAACTTCGCTCTATTTGGATAAAGAGAAGTGACACTTGATTTGTTATCTCATGCAGGAGCCTATGACAGATATATCTGCAGTCATGTTGAGTACATTGAACAATTACCTGCAGGTTCGGTTATGTCGAAGACAATTTCCTTAATATTCTTGATCCAAGTTTGCATTTTTTCCTAGTGAGGTGGTATGTTTCTTTTTAATTTTTATGTTCCCACTTGATCATAAGTTGGCTTTTACGTAACCACACAGTAAATAACTCCAATTTCTTCTCCTTCAATAGAAATCTACAAAAACACTCATCCAAACTCATATCAGTTATATTATACCAGAAGCAAAGAAAACTTGGTACATCTCTTATAAAGAGGAAGACATGGGAACAAAGAGCGCGCAAGGACTTGCATGCTAATATGTTCAGGGGATCAAGTAAAGTAGGATCTCCTTATTCAATTCTTACTAAGTGTGCATTTATACCTACAAAGACATGGTCAAACTTTAATAAAATTCTTAAAAATTGAAATGTGGAATCAAATTTATGATAGAGATACGGAAGTTACGAAAGTTATCTTGACTAGTGAGTCTGACAAACAGCTTAGTAACTTTGTATTAGATTGGCTCCATTGGGAAACTTCTTTCTAGTAAACCCCCTGTTACTCCAGCTTCTAGCTATTGCTTGAAATGTTCTATTTAGTACTATAAAAGCGAGAAATAGCAAGAGTGGCAGAAAGTGAGTTAGAATGGCAAAATAGGATTGTCATTCTTGTCCTTATGTTTCTTCTTTCAGATCAGTCCACTTCTCAATGAAGGTCAGCTTCGTAGAATAGTGACTGAGGTAAGGCATGTCATTACAGAAAGTTCAAACAGAAAACGAAAATTCAAGGAGAGAGCAAAATCAGAAGACTTTGATGCTGAGGAAGATGAATTGCTGAGGACGGAAAAATGGCAAGAAGATCATATTTTGTGGCAGGTATGTTCCATTCTAAGAATGAAGTTCAGATATAAATGACACACTGTTGTACTCTTTATGCAAGCCTCACTTTGGTTATACTTTTACTTATCGAATAACCTGAGCTTTTTCTTATTATCAGCTTTGTCGAATATTAAAAACATTGATCAAAATGGTGAAGGCAGCATTCTTTCCTTTCATTGACGAGCTGGCATCATATCTGATTCCTATGTGGGTGAGTTCAGGACATGATAGCCACTTCTATTCTACCACTCTACTTATTTATTCATATCTATGTCTTAATTTTTTTTTTAATTTAAAATTTTAAAATTTTTCTTGCTTCTATGAAGGGAAAAGATAAAACAGCTCAAGAGAGATGTACACCAACTGTTATCTTTGCTAGCCTAGTGAGGGAGTGCCCTGAAGCGGCTCTAAAGTGGGTTTGTGTGTATGAGATTTTCTTAAATGGTTGGGATCACCATTTTGATAAAAATTATTTCCTTTGTCAACTAGGTACTGTGATATATTTCTACCTTTGTTTTTGGATGCAAGCAATGACGAGAACCCAAGAGTTAGACAGGTTTGGCTATCTTAATGGTTGCTGCCAGGTTCTTTATTCAAGTTGCTCACGATATCATTTAACCAAACACCATCGATGACGTGTCCAGAATGCTCTTTATGGACTTGGGCTTTATGCGGAATATGGTAGTTCTGTTTTCAAACCTGTTGTTAAAGGTATAATACCGTTGAATGTGATATTGAGATCCTTTTCAACATGGGAACTTGACGAAAAATGATACTACATTTTTGTACTTACTACTAAATCTCATGACATGATTCAGAGGCTATTTCAAGGATCAATGTTGTGATAATGCATTTATGTGCTCGTGAACCTGAGAATGAATGTGCATATGATAATGCTGTTTCTGCACTGGGTAAGATATGTCAGTTCCATCGGGAAAGTATCAATTCAGCCCAGGTTTGTCCTTCTTGAAATCCTTATTATTTATTTGTCTATTCATTCTTAAGCCTACAGGTCATATATGCTTGAGTTGGAATTCTGATATTTAAGGTGTACATTTAGGTCTTTATTGCAAACTTCCTTGCATGCATCAAATAGTTTGAGAGCTGCAATTATTTTTTTATGGTTCATTTTAATCTTTCTCATAGCCGCTGATTCAGTTCTATAAGTTGAATTGCACTAGAATGGGATATAGTAGTGTGACCTTCTTATTCAACATAAAGAGATTTAAAAGAGGTTCCAGTAATTCCTGTCTTATTCATTTACTTATTTCATCCTTTATTTGAAAAGTGTCTTAGTTAACCCAACAAGAATATTGTTATACTATGCAACTTAATATGATTAATAAGCTAATGATTGATTGATATGCTTGTACTTTCTACACTTTCTAAAAGTTAGTTCCAAATTGCATAATTATTGCCATTTCCCTAGTTATTAAGACTTTTTTATTTTCTCTCTTTCTGTTGTTCTCCGGACTATTTAAGACACTCGTATTTTCCTTCCTTTCATGAAAAGGAAAAAAAGTATTTATTGCTATACATGTATATTGAGATTCCTCTGTTTCCTTTAAGTTATACTTGCTAATGGAGATCCCTTTGAGTTTATTTCCTTTTTTCACCTACTCCTTTTATCTCATATTATATGACACTAATTGACTTGTCTAGAGTTTGAAATGTTCATTTGACTTATGGTAGTGGAAGAGAATATTACTCCAACTAATAGTCGAAAATCTAGTTTGGTTGATATAACATGGTATGGCGTATCAAAGTTTAAAATTTTAGTTTTAAATGAATTTGAAATCTACAAAATTGTGAAAGTTGTATGGTAAATATTATTAGTCAAATGGCGTCAAACATTTTAAGATGTCCTTCAGATAAATTGGGTTGGAGAGAGCATTTGATTTAGCTTTACCATAAGATACTTTACTAAGCTCAAAAGTGTTTAAAAAAGAAAGAGAAGAAAATACTCAAAAGACACTTTTACATTATCAGTACTTTTTTACATTTTAAAAAGACTGCAAACAATTGCTAACATGGTCGTTGGTGCAATTGTTTGTGCCTTTTGTTAATACCTTCTGATAAGAGTCTGTTTCATTGTGCATGCGCACAAATGTTGAAATATGGTAAAGCATATTGCTTTTGATCTTCACAGATAAAGTGATGTTCCTCCATTGTACTATTTAATCTTGCTATAATTTCTTCACAATTCTAATTCCAAATCCTTTGGTAGATTGTTCCGATTTGGTTGAATTGCCTGCCTATAAAGGGTGACCTGGCTGAAGCCAAATATGTTCATGGCGAGCTATGTTCGATGGTTGAAAGGTACTGGATTAGTTTGCTCTAGTTTTCATCCTTTTCTGGTCTTCGCTTTACTATTTTAAATCTTCATTGTTATCTGTTTTACGTATTTATTTTGGAAAACTAGAAAAGAAAAGATTACAAAATGGCAACATATGATTGGAACTATTTTTTGAAAATATAATTCCAAGTGTTATGCTAGCATGTTTCCTGATTTCACATCTTGGGAAATCTAACCCATCACTAGCCAAACAAACTCTTGAAGTATCATTTAGCATTGTAACTAGTTTACAAGTTTGCAACAGTGCAACAACAACAACAATAACTAAGCCTCAGTCCCAAACAAGTGGGGGAAGTTTATGACAGTGCAATTGCAACAATGTTTATTTTATATGTTTTAGAAATATTTCATTAGGATGTGCAATTCCAAGTGTAGGCTTTCGTGATAAGAGATCCCCAATTTCCTTCTGATGTATATAAAGTATATGATCTTTGTAGCATTTACAAGCCTTTCTGATTGTAGTATTTAATGAATTTTTAGTCTTCAATGTTTCACTGAAAGGTTGTGCACAAATTTAGCCATTTCTTGAACCTATAAAAACAAAACAGAAAATTACCATTAATATAGAAAAATACATGTAGAAATAAATTTTAATTGCACATAAACCTTATTATCTACAAAGTTTACTTCTTTTGCAAACATGTAGAGAAAAGATACAACCATTATTATGAAAAAATGCATAATGCAGATAGTTGTAAACTATTGAAGGTTTCGACACGATAGTTTCTTACACTGCACTTGCACATAATGCCTCGGCATTTGACCAAGTATATAAAGGATGCCATGGTGGCACAATTGAATCACATAAGTTGTGAACTACTAAATTAAGAAGACGCCGCACAAATATATTCATGTAACGACCCGGCCGGTCGTTTTGAGTATTACAACCATGTTCTCCCATTTATTGCTCAATTTATACTTTACAGTTGTTTTATGATTTACCGAGTTAGTTGGTTCGGATCCGGAAGGATTTCGGAGTGAAACGAGATACTTAGTTTCATAATTGAAAATTTAAGTTAGAAAAGTTGACCGGATATTGACTTAGGCGTAAACGATCTCGGAATTGAATTCTGATAATTCCAATAGCTCCGTATGGTGATTTTGGATTTAGGAGCGTGTCCGGAAAATTATTTGGAGGTCCGTAGTGGAATTAGGCTTAAAATGGCGAAAGTTAAATTTTTTGGGAAGTTTGACCGGGGGTTGACTTTTTGATATTGGGGTCGAAATCCGATTCTGAAAATATTAATAAGTCTGTTATGACTTGTGTGCAAAATTTGAGGTCAATCGGACGTGATTTGATATGTTCCGGCGTCGTTTGTAGAAATTGAAGGTTTCAAAGTTCATTAGGCTTGAATCTACGTGGGATTCGTATTTTTAGCGTTGTTTGAGGTGATGAATAAGTTCGTATGATGTTTTGGGACTTAATGGTATGTGTGGTTGAGGTCCCGGGTGGCTCAGGTGAGTTTCGGATGCTTAACAGATCATTTTTGGACTTGGCTTGATAGCTGAAGTTCTCGTTTCAGCAGGTTATGGTTTCTTTGTACGCGATCACATGGATTCATTCGCTATCGCGTAAGCTTAATTGAGGCAGTGATGATTTTGTGCTTCGCGATCGCGTGAATTGGACACGATCGCGTAGCTATGCGAGTTTGTTATCCGCGAACGCGTGAAGAAGGTCGCGTTCACGTAGAGTAAGTGGAGCAGAAATAGAGGTCACGCGTTTTGTGCTTCGCGATCGCGTGGACGAGTTCGCGATCGCGTAGGCATGTGAGAGTGAGCTTCGCGATCGCGTGAAAAAGTCCGTGATCGCGTAGGGTTCAATCTGGGCAGTGAAAAACTATGCTTCGCGATCGCGTAGAGCAAATGATTGGGCAGTGAGTTTAAGTTCTGACATTTTTGACGGATTTGAACTCGGGAAGAGGCGATTTTCGGTAGTTTTTCAAGAAAAACAACGGGTTAAGTGTTCTTAACTCAATATTGGTTAAATTATCCTAATCCATGGTTATTTTTATCATTTAATTGGTGAATTAAGTTGGAAAAATTTGAAAACCCTCTTGGATAAATTTGAGGATTTTAGGGTCGAATTGTTATCGAAATTTTTCTCATTTGCAGGTCAGATAGAGAACTTATTGGTCCCAGCTATCAGTACATTCCAAAAGTTATTTCAGTTTTTGCGGAGGTTAGTTTGAAATCAGAACTATTAGATACTAGATTAAGTTCATGACTGATATAAAATTTCCCAAGAAGCTTACCGGCATTACTAATTTACTGGTAGGGAAGGAAGGTAACCCTTACGATAAGAGAGTCTATCTTGCCCAGGCTATTATGCTATTATCGGATCAGTTATTAATGTCCCATGTAGCTCATTACAAAAAAGTAAAAAATGCATTTGAAATCTTATGAAACGTTAAAAATTACACAATATTTCATGCTTTTCTTCTATTTTTTGAAGTATTGATTTGACTACCAGTTCTCTAGGAGAAAATATACTATTAATAACATCTAAAGTAGAGAGGTCAGTAGAGAGGTAAAAAGAAGTCCAACTAATACTTTTCAAGCATCTAACATTAAATTACATTCTCATATTCAATTCCCTTTTGATTTAAATTTCATCTAGATGGTTGACTGATCTGCCGATATGAACGTATCATTATATTGTGGATGTTGCCTATTAAACCAAAACTTATGTATGTATAAACATTCGGTAATTGAATGTTGGTAATTAATGTATTACTTTTTTTAAGAAAGAAAAAAAGAACACAATCAGCTCCTATTGCGATAGAGAGGTTAAATTTAGTTCATGCACTTATATCTTATACCATCTTGTGATCTTATAGTATAGAAATGAGTTGATCCTTTCATTTTTTTTTGCATACTAGAGGTTTAGTTTTATTTTGTGAAAAGAACATTGTTATTATTTCATAAAATAACTTGCCTCTAAGGAATAACTTATAGGTAATAGTTACATACTGAATATAAAAGAAGAGTTTGTACATTTTCTTATTGTGCTAATGCTGGGCAAAAACCAATCTTAAATTCTGAATATGAGATTGTGATAAGATACAAATTATATACAGATATATATTTTGACCCTTATTAAATTTCTTGTTGTTGAGAAATTACATACATTTAATAGGGCCTTTAAATAGGGAAGGGAAAAATAACCAAGACTATTAAATAGCAAAATGAGAAGAGAAAACATACCGTGTTTGAAGATTGATGAGTAGCAACACTCTTTGAGACCTGCAACAGATGTTAAAGTTGTAATTGTTCGAATCCGCTTGTCCACTTAAAACACATACTAAAAGTTATAACTGTTTGATTAGCAACATTTAAGCAAAAGTAATAAATGATAATAATCAGTCACTTCTCCTAACTCACGTTTGATGAAGACGTTTGGCGTTTGTAGTTAAGTAATGAGGTAAACAATTAAAGTTAGCGGGTAAAAAAGAGGAGAAAAATTCAATAGAAGGAGAAAAAAGACACATGTCATTCTTAGCTTTTGAGCGGTGCCAAGTCATCCTCTCAAAATGTTTTTAACTTAAACTCTAAGCTTTTTGAATTTAAAGATGCAAAAGATTTAAATACATTTCAATATTCGAGCACTAAAAATATTATTTTATAAATTCAATAAAAAGAATTATAACCGCGCGAAGCGCGGATCAATTCACTAGTGTTATTAAAAAAGGCATGCAAGAAATCATCTAATTTTGTATTCTACATTGGCGTACGTGAGTTGAAATTAGGGCTGGCAAGTGGGCCGGTCCCGGGCCTAAACGGGTCAAGTGGGCCGGTCCAAATAGTTCCGGGCCCGGTCCCAAATTAAACGGGTCCGGGCCTAAACGGGCTTTTTGTAAGGATCGGCCCGGGATCGTTTAGACCCGGGCTAAACAGTCCCGGCCCGCGGGCTAAACGAGCTAAGTGGGCCCAACATATTTTAAAAATAAAATAAAAATTAAATAGATATTAGAGACAAAAGTATGTTAAAAAAAAAATATTTAAGACAATGCTTTGTAAATTTTATTATAGAATTGTGACCTAAATTTTAATATTTAATATTTA